GCCTTTCTGCTGGCTGGCTGGGCAGCAAGAGGAGGAGGAGGCGCCGCTGGCATGAAGCCCCTGGGGGGGAAGCCCTGCTGGAAACTCCACCGCCCACCCCGGCACAGTGGCCAGTCTGGCCCCACCTTCCGTCCCATCTGGCCTTTCTGCTGGCTGGCTGGGCAGCAAGAGGAGGAGGAGGAGGAGGAGGAGGTGGAGGAGGAGGAGGAGGGGGGAGCAGCCTGAGCTCCCATCTCTCCGCCATGACTTGGAGAGGCAGCCCCTCCCCTTACCCAGCAGGCCCGTGCCCGGAAAGGCGGTGCCAGCGGAAGACAGCCAGCAGGCCTGCCAGTGAGGGAGACACCCGCCTGGGCCAGGGAAGGAGCTGTGCCCTGACACGCAGGCTGCCTGCACGCTTCCCAGGCAGGGGGAGGGAGGGAGGGAGGGAGGGAGGTGGGCACGAAAGCTGGGTCACCGCGGAGAAGCCGCCCCCACAGCTCCTGCTGACACCAGCTCTGTCATCCTGACATTGGGGGTAGCCGAGCATCTGGGCTGGAGGGCAAAGCGCTTTGTGGATGCTGGTTTCCCACCCCTCTGCACGAAGGGTTTGCCCTCCCCCATGCCATGGCAGAGGGGGGGGGACACACAGGGTCAGCAGAGGAAGCCAGGAGGGGTCAGGGCTGCCAAGGGAGGGCAGAGGCCCCCAAAGCCAGCTGCCTCTGGGGCCGATGCCGAAGCCCTTTTCTGCCTCCTTGGGAGCAGAGCTAGAGACCCGGGCGGGAGGGAGGAAGAGGGCACCCCCCCTTACCTTCATAAGCCTTTGCGGCACTGACCAAGCTTGACCACTCCAGGCCCACGGCTGTGTCCGGCAGGGGCATCAGGGCAGGGTCAAGGCAGCGCAGGGGCTGGTCGCGCACCTCGGCCAGAGAGAGCTCGGAGGCAGAGATAGTGGCTGCAAAGGGGGAGGGGGGAGGGGGGAGACCCCCAGACCCATCAGCCGACCTGCACAGGGGGCCCTGCCAGTGGGCTTAAAGGGGGCCCAGGCAAGTTCCTCCTGCCCTGGATGTTGGGGCAAAGGCCGGCTCCCCCCCCCTCCGCCCAGTGCCCTTGGAGTGTGG